TCCATTTAAGAATTTATAACTGACCTGACTCAAAATTAATACGAAAAAAAAATCAAATGCAGATTTCGACTTGTATGTACAAAATATATTTAGTATGACTCAAATTTAAAATAGAATCAATTCCACTGATCCCAACTCGAACACTCGAATTGACACATCTAATTGAAAGTAATGGTTACCCAAATTAACTTTTTGACAAGTAACCAAACTCGAACTTGTACAACCCTAGATAAAGAGAGGCCCATTAAGACAATATGAAACAAATTGGATCGAGGCTCTAAGCCTCTAAGGTATAATGTGATTCACGTATGAGATTTAAGTTTGAGTCATGTTAAATCATTGTGTCTATACAAGTTGAAATCTTAATTGGTTAGATCTAATAATTCTAATATCTCTAACAGGAGTATTATTTAAGAATCAAATTAGGGAAGATTTAACTATTGATTTGCTATAAAATGTTTTCCATCAAAATAAACAAACCGACCCTAGATTTCGACCATTTGTTTTGCATAATTGGTTTTTAAGTTCCAATGGTTGTATTTCATTTATTTCTTTTGGTCAAAACAGGAACCACAAAAAGAAACTAATGGTGTGTTTGGATAGATGTTTTAAAACAGGTTGCAATGGAGGTAGAATTTATTTAAATTATTTTATTGTTAGGTTAAACAATTTAACCATGGAATCTCATACCAAAAGGCTTCTAACTCAACCTAATTCTCATAGAATCCCATATATACTCACCTTACCCCTAAGAGGTTGTTTGGGTAATGGGATGGATTGGTGTGGATCTCATGCTAGGGAGGAATGTATTCATACTAGTCTAAGCTTGTTTGACTTATTTTTGGAATGTCTTTTACAGTTCATTAAAGAAATGGATTGTGAGGGGTGATTTGAGTATAAGATTTTACTTTTTAGGGAATGGGGTGGAGTAGTAATCAACTAAGTATGATATTCCATACCTAAAACGCCTAACCAAATAATTAAATGGATGTAATGGACTCTAACACTATTCCAATTCATTTTTTGTTGGACCTTTTAGAACCGATTAGAATGGACTTAGAGTTCAAGTACAATTCATTGCATTAATGAACTATAGAAATCATTCCGACAATGAGACCAAAATTTTTACAGTAGATTATTATGAGATTTCCGTTCTTTTTAATACTCCTTAGCAGTACTTTTTTTTTGTACGGAAATTTACACCAATCCATTCCAATATGAGTAAGTATTAACGAACGCTTCTTCTCTCTCCTTCTCTTCTTCTCACTTCTAGGGGTTTCCAATTTTTTTTGGCCGTTTAGGCTGGAAATATTCTAATTTCTTTGAAAATTAGACCATTTCTGACCCCTTTCCCCTTATTTTTCATTAGTTTTGCAATTTAGATATCAATAAATCTACACTACTAGTGTAGATGTTCGTTCGTTTCCTTATAGTGGAGTCATTAGTTTTTGTTAGTTTAGTTGTTTGGGTTTGTTTAGGGTTTATTAAATCATATTATGCCTTATTATCAGTTTGTTGATAAAGAGTTGTTCGGAATTTCAACGATTGTCATATCTTCAAATGCGTTCAAGTGAATAAGATGAAAATCATCCTAACGCCTACAACAAACCGTTAGACCGTCTCTTCGAAAAGGTTGTATATTCTATCAATGTGTGCGAGAAATGTACCATATTGTAAGATCTATTCAAAAATCGTAGCTTGAAGAAAACCCTAATTTAATTTATATATTTGTTGATTTAGATTTCATTTGTAATAGTCGTATGACTTTCTATTAATCAACAAATTATTTTATGCACCTTTATTCTACAATTTATGTCCAATCAAACAAGCCTAACCCATTTGTTTACTTAATTGACCCATTATTTTTATGAGGCCCAATTTTCCTTTTTACCCTACAATAACTCTCTCCTATAAATACCCCATGAATCTCCAAAAATTTCTCACACAAAAAGGTTAGTCTTATTTTCATCCTCCTTTGTTTCATTATTTTGCTTAATGTTAATTTAATTGTTTTGGGTTTTGATTTTAGTATAAAGATTATATTAGTATCAAATTATATTTTGATGGTATAAAGATTATAAATTTCAGATTTTATTTATGTTATAAATTTTCATATTTTATGAATTATAAACCTAGGGTTTCAATTTATTGAAAATCATGATTTTAGGGTTTTTATGAACAATTGATTTAGGGCTTTTACAGTAACGATGTTTTGAAATTTTGGTGATTATAACTAATGATTAGTTTAACTTAATTCCAGATTATTTTGAACACTTAAATTCGTGTTTTAATTCGTTTATATTAATCCCATTTTAATCCCGATCAGTTTCTGAACTCATCCGATTTTGATGAAAAAGTAGTGTTTTTCATGTGGAAACAATGTTTTAAAAAATTCAGCCTCTAAATATGATTTTCGGACAGTTTTCGATTTTAACGAAGTTTTTTTTATACTTAAAATAATATCCTTGAGTTTTATTGATAAAATTAATTATGTTTAAAGTTAATTAAGCATAAATATATGTTTTTATTGAAGTTTTAAGTGCTAGAAATAGTTTCTAAGTATTACTTTTGATGTTTTATAAAGAGGGTTTAATCACCCATTAAAAGGGAGATTATTAGGAGTTTTTAAATAATTTTAAGATTTTTATTAAACTTTAAACTTGCTGTAATTTCACGTATAAGAGTGTATTTTAAGGTTTTTATGATGAAAATTTAAAGAACTACATATAAGCCTTTAATTTTAACTAAAGGGAAGGTTTTAAAGTGTTGTTTGATTTGTATTTTGAAGGTTTTAAAATAAGTTAGTATTGCTGTAAATTTGATTGATTGGGTATTGATTGAGATGTAATTGTTTGGATTAGGAGAGGAGTTTATTGAAGGTGATTTCTAGATAGTAAAGTGGCATACCAATTCGTTTATTCAAGGTACGTACGAGTTACGAAACCTTGCTTGTAGGTGCATGTTTAAGGACGGATCGAGAACTTAGTATCATGTATAGGGATGACTGGGTTAAATTGTTTGGTTATACATTGTGAATGTCATATGATGTGCACTATTTTATATTGCAAGTATTATTTGTGCTCTAATTATGCAAGGTCCGCTTAGAGGCAAAGGTATGCAATTGGTGTAAAGATTAATTTATTACTCATTCATGATTATTGAAATAGGATGAGTAAAGGAAGAATTCAAGTCTTATAAGACGAGGTTAAGGCTTTGGGGTGCCTTATGCACTCAAGGTGTTTATACACCGAGGTAGTAAAGGAATAAATAATAAGTGTTGTTTGTCACTAATAAATCAAGAATTGAAATTGGAAAGTTGTTTTACTTGATTGAATTGATATTGGATTGATTGTATTGTTTAATTTGCATATGAGTCATCACCAAGTCTAAACCTGTAAATCACGTAAAGCGCAAGATGCATGAGCAATAAAACTCTGGATTGGTGCACATCTAGAGTAATGACAATCAGGGGTTGGGGTACATGGGGTATTAGTCGTGTACTTTTATCGAGGCCGTCTGATCTACGAGTCTCCTATTTCAAATATTATTCTTTTAAAAATAGGAGTTAGGTGAGATCTCATACTAACTACGGTCACGGAGTCGCGTCCGTGGTCGTTGGATGTTTATTGATGTTTCCGAAAGGAGGCATGGGATTTTTCTTTTATTGATGTTCCAAATGGGACATGGGTTGGACAACCTTGTCTATTGCTAAATCCAATGTAATAAATAAATGAGTTAGTTAATATTAACCAGTGAAGTCTTAATAAATTTGATGGTTGAGTCATGTGCCGAGTCTATAATTTAATGATGCTTATGCTTGATTTTAGTAGCATGTTAGGTATTTTTTAATTTATTTCGCAGCTTGTATGTACTCAGCTTTGCTGATTGCGTGCTTTATATGTCTTTCTTTGGTCATGGCTTTCGCCTTTCAATGACCCTGTGACGATCCAATTTTTACACTTGTAATATTGGGGAGCAGATTAACCACAGGTTCTTACACATGCAGCATCTATTTCTAGATGGTGGGATCTTGAGTGAAGAGTTGGTTACTTTTCTTATTTTAAGGGAGTAAATTAAAGTAAAGTGTATGTAATTAGTAGTGTAAAAAAAGGAGGGAAAAAAAGGTGGTCCCTTTTTAGTGGAGGCCATGAGGCCCCTTTGTTATTTTCCCTCTCTTTCCTTCTCTTATTCACGTGAAGGGAGGGGTGTTTTTGGGAGGGAATTTTTTTTGCCTCCCAAAAATTTCATTTCCCCCCCAAAAAATTCACAAAATTTAAAAGCAATTCAAAAACAATTGGACAGGCAGCAAAAGCAACAATTTTACCAACCCAAAAGCTCCTTATAAAAAAGGAGTAGCTGTTTCATTCAAGATCCTCATTCAAACACAGGAGGGTATTGGCGGGGGGGGGGGGGGGGGGAATCAGAATTCTTCAAAATAAGAAGTTAGAGGATACAACCAAATGTTTGCAAAATTACAAAAACCATAATTTGAAATTAGTCCTAATTCCTAATTGCTGTGTTAGTAGTAGCAGCATTAGTGAATTTGTGCACGAATTAGGCTCCACCGAAAGCTCCCAAAAAAAGGCAAGTCACCTCCACTTCATCACCTACCATCAAATCTGAAAAAAAAATAAGAGACTCATGGCAGAAATGTTGGATGATTTTTTCAACATAAACCAACTGCTCATGGAGCAGGAATTGGTGATGGAAGAAAATTCCAGTTCTTCTGGGTCAAAAACTGAAGAGGCAACTCAGCAGCAACAACATGAACACATCTCATCAGCAGAATCAGAAACAGATACAGAGCAACAAAATCAGCAACACTTATTTGTGAGGAGCAGCAGAGAATTAAACATTGAAGAAAAAAGGCAGATTGTTGATGTATTCTGCTTAATATGGTAGGAGACACACTGCTAAGAGGAATGCTGACCTCATTGGCAAAGAAACATCATGTACACAAATCTACTACAAGCAGGTGGCTAAAAGTAATTAAACAACACATGCAACTGGGAGAAGTAGTGGATGTGAGAACCAAAAAGTTAGGGAAAACTGGTCGCAAGCCATTTGAATACTCTGATGAGTGGCTTATGTTTGTCCCACTTTACAAGAGAACCACAAACAGAAGCTATGGTGCTGCTCTACATATCAATCATATGGTGATACACAGGTTGAAGAAAAGGGGCAGATTTAGGGCAGTGTCAGCAAGTAATCACCCAGCATTATCAGAAAATCACAAAGTTGCAAGGCTTAAGTGGGTTTTGCAACACATTCATCCAATTCCAAGTGAGGGGGACCCTACAATTATGGATATGCAACATCACATACACATTGATGAGAAGTGGTTCTACCTAAACCCAAAGACAAGGACTTTCTATCTAACCCCAAATGAAGAGGTCCCATACAGAGCACAACAGTCTAAAAGGTTTAAGATAAAGGCAATGTTCATGAGAATGGTAGGCAAACCACTTTATGCTGCAGATGGGACTCTTATTCACTCAGGGAAGTATGGTTTGTTCCCTTTTGTGAAACATGAGAGGGCAAAAAAGAAAAGCAAAAACAGAGAAGCATGCACAATGGAGATGACAGGGTAAAGTCGTATCCCCTAATCAAAAATAATTTCCTAAGTCCTCTAACTAAAGCAGATAGGGAAGTAGGGTCGATCTCCACAGGGAAACAAGTCTTTCTATTCCTAATTACCTCAAATAATCTAGATTATGAAGTAACCAATATTTATATTTGAGTATGAAACTAAACTACAAAGAATGAGAATAGGGAGAAAACTATATATAAAGGGATCTAGGGCATAGGTTCACCAATAAATAATATTTCAGGGTAAAATATAATAATAATTCATTAAAGCATACATCAATCAGATTATAAAGGGCTTTCGCTACGTATTATAATCACACAATTAATTTACCGGTATTAAATCTCATCTTTCGAATCTAGACCTAACCATTTATAAATTAACCTGTCTATTGAAACTAGACCTAAACATCAATTCTCACCTGTCGAATCTCGAATCAATATTGTTAAACTCATGCATAAAAGATTTGCGCAAATCTAGTCACAGAGCATTAAACCAATCAATAGGAAATTAATCTAGCTTTGATAATTAACAACAAAATATTACCCCTTCATATTATTTATGGATCCCCATAAACCCTAGAAATAAAACTACTCACACATGGTAAAAACTAAACTAATCAAAGCAATAAAATAAGACATGATTAAAGGAATAAAATAAATAACTAAGATTAAGAGAAGAGGAATCGTTACCAAAATAAATCTGGAATTAATGGAAATAATCAAGAACAAGAGTTGAGAGAGAGAATTCTAAGAGAATAATTAAGAGAGTAAAAAAAGAGTAAAAAGGAGAAGAAGAGATACTAAAATCTTATTACGGAGGAGTATTTATACTCCGTACAAAATCCTAAACTAAAACAAATTAAAACGACGTTAAGCGTCTAATAAAAAATACACGCGCCCGATCGGGCGAGGCACCGCCCGATCGGGCGCGCCTTTTTTTGCTCCTAATACTAAACTCGCGCCCGGCCGAGCGCGTCACCGGGCGCCAGCCTAAGCTTCTCCCGCCCGGCCGGGCGCGCCTCCGGGCGCCAGCCTCTTTGGTCGGGCGGCTCATTTGGGCCACTATTTGGACTACGATTGGGCTCCAATTCTTCGGGCCAATCTGGGTTTCCTCTTCCGGTCTTGAATACTCGGTCCAAATTGAAGGAGTTATGTTTTCGATAAGTGCAATTGCTAGATATATCAAGGATCACTATTATGGAGATAATAAGTTCATTCTATAGGGTCGTCAATGTTTGGTACTAGATATGACAATTGATCTTTGGGCTAGCTTAATGGCCCAAAGCCTTATAGAATGGATCCTACAAGGTCACACATAAGAGTATTGGGTTAAACAAGTTAGAGGCCCATTAATTGGCCTCATGAGTACATGACATACCATGTTGATAATTGGGCTTGGATAGCTAGAAGAGTCTAATTGGTTTTGGACTTGACATGGTTTTATTTCTAGATATGATCTACAAATATAAACCATGCCTAGGGTTGCATGACACAACAATTGACATACAGTAAATTGTCACACAAGCAACCAAGCATCCCAAAACCCTAACTCTCTCTCTCTACTTGGCCCTATCTCTTTCCTCCCTGTCTGTACGGCCCTCCCTTGTGGGTGGCGCGTGTGGTGGTGCGTGGGTGGTGTTGTGGTGTGTTCGTGGCTCAAATCTCCATTGAAGGTTGATTGAAGTGTTCAGTCACAACTAACTAGCATTAGTAGAGGTTTAATCCATGCTCGTGGACTAAGTAGAGGAATCACGCTTGGGGTTATTTATCTCCCATTGTTCTTGCTCGATCGCACGTGGAATCACGCTTCAAAGGTACGATTATATGTTCTTTATGTGTTATGCATTAGATCTTTGGATTAGGTACTGTATGAATATGATTCATGTATTTCCGCTGCGTAGTACCTATAATTCCCTACAGTGGTATCAGTTAGCCTATTGCATTTACGCATATTGACTATAATTCTTTGATAGTCCACAATTTTAATTCAATTAAGCGGGAGATTAATTTAATTATGGTTCAATTATTATATTTAATGTGATTAAACTTTTGGAATCGATTAAATATGATTTAATTATGCTCAAAATAGCCATGAAGAGGCCGAATTTTAGCCCTAATATGTTCGAAAATTTCGAACCCCTAACCCTATTTTTCGAATTTTTCGAAATTCCTAGCCCTAAAATATGATTTTTGTGCTTGATTTTGATTTAATTCGATTTATTTATGATTCATAATTTTAATCGGATTGATTTATGCATAAAAGTGTTTTATGTATGATGATCGATTTAATTTTAAAAGTTAGAATTAAATTGGGATTAATTTTATGATGAACCCTAATTTTAAAGTTGAATGTGATTTAATTTTAATCTTATGGACTGATTTAATTTAATTTTAATAAATGTTATTTTAATTAAATTAAAAACAAAAAAAAATTATTATTTTGGTCGGCAACCGCGGCTGGGTGGCGTAGCCACGACGCCTGCCGACCAGGTGGTGGTCCAAGAGGGAGGGAAGGGGAGGGCGGAGGTCGGGGTGGCTGTGGGCAGCAGCGTGCAAGTGTTGCATGGCTGCTGCCACCACTGCCAGAGCAGCTGCCCGCTGCTGCCTTACGGCAGTGGCTGCTGTTATGGAAGCCAGCCACCGTGGCTAGCTTCGGCTAGCCAACCACGGTGGCCGGCGGTGGTGGCTTGCGGTTTTTTAAAAAAAAAAAAAAAAAAACTGTTTTGAAAAATTATTTCAAGATAATTATGAATTATTTTGGGATAAAATCAGTTTTATTTTGGATGAGATAAAATATTTTGAAAATATGATCTTTTATTTTGAAAGATAAAATCGATTTTATTTGGATAAAATTTTTTATTTTAGGATAAAATCAAATATTCAAAAGTTGTTATATTTGATATTATCCATATTTAAAGTTGTTAAATTGGTAATTATCCATAATTAAAGTGGTTAATTTTGGATAAGATTTGTTAGGATATTTTGAGCATATTCCAAAAGGATAATAATTGATTTAAATAATGTTATTATCCCATAATTAATATTGGATATAATTGATTTAAAATTTTGTGATTGTCTAGTAATTAGGATAGAATTTCCTAACTTTGTTAGGATAATCTTTGAGGATAAATATGATTTATATTTTAGGATTAAAATAAGATTTGATTCTATCTCATGACTAATTTAGAATATATGATATTTTATTGATGTTCATGAATAATATATGATATTATCTAATTGCATTAATTAAAATATGAGATATTTTGGTGCCATGTTTCCTTAATTATGAACATTCGATGTTGTAGTTTAGGAAAGCATGATGAGTGATTTATTATGTGGAAATTTATAATATATGATGTTATTTATTGCTATATAATGACTAGTATGGCCCTATAGATTCTAAATACGATCTGCGCATCGTTTCGTATTTTTGTAATCTAAATACGGTCTGCGTACCGTTAAGTATTTTTGTAATTTATTTTATTTTATTTAAGTAGTAGATAGAATAGAATAGTATTATTACAGGTTGCAGTTAATCCAAGAATCCATGGAGTGGAGGCCCAAAGGAGCAAGATGGATGAGATCCATGAAGGTTCAAGTAGGAGCTTTTGCTTTATTAGTTTTCTTAGGTTTAAGGGGACATACTATGTCATATTTTATTTATGCATTAGTAGATTATGCATGTTATATTTTATTTATGTTGTTTGATGATGCGCTAGAGTTCACTAAATAATCACAACATAATGAATCTAGGTCCCAGTAATATTGAGGTAGCTTTTCCAATCAAAAACTCGATGAAACCTTTGATATTTATGATGGGTCATGCCAAAGCAGGGTGTCATATTATATATTAGGGGAGTGGGGGTAAAACAAATTTTACAATTTTGATTGGTTATACTCAACAAGGTTACCTAAAGAGTTTAGAGCCTTGAAGCTAAGGGTAATAACTAAACATGTGATGGTTAATTATTCAACCAAGAATTACAAAGAGTTGTAATCAGTAAAGAGTTTACTCACCTTGAAAATGTAATGGTTGATGGTAGGGCCAAAGTCCGGTAAATCATTGCACAAATAAAGGATCTTGGAATCATTCTATTCAATAGGGATCAATTAAATTGAATGAATGTTTTAAAGTTACCAGTTTTATAATCGCTTATGGTACTTTAAAATTTTTATTAAACATAATTGAATTTTGCGTTTACTTTTAAGTAACATGTCGTTCTCATTTTATTATTATAATCTCCTCGATTGAAAATAAAGTTGAGAAACGTTCTCAAAAGGTTAAAAGATAATCCATAAACCTATATTCCAACTTTGCTAAGATGGTTCTAAAAGGCAAGTTTTAAAAATCCATGTCACATGTCTAAGGTTGGTTTTATTCAAAATGTTTGAGTAAAATTCCAACACATCTTCATTTTGAAAAGTGTTTCAAGGGATACAATGAGATAGGAGGTACAAACTCTCTAAAAGACAAGTATAGAAGTCCAATAAAATCTCTTATCTTCAATATGATTGAATATAAGAAAGTGATTGGAAATCTCTATGATCAAAAGTTGATCAAATGACGCTATTCTTCATCCACTTTATATAAGAGTTAAATAGTTGATTAAACTATAATATGAATGATGATTGAATAGACTTAGCAAAATCATGAAATGTGCTTAAAGTAGTTAAGCAAAGCATCATTTTGAACCTAAGAGAAGTGTTCTAAGTGGCTCAAATGGGAAAGGTTTAGGAATATGTGAGGATTACATTAAGAAGTTATAGGCCAAGAAATGCAAACAAGTTGCTACTTCTCAAACCTAGAACTACTTACGTGCTAAAAGTTGTTATGAACAACAATGTTTCAAATCAAATGGACCAATTCCAATTGATTAGAAATTACCTCATATAGTTGGAAGGTAAAAGAATGGAAATGTTCCAATTTAAGAAGTATATTATAGAAATTGATTTAGCACATTGCTACTTCTTGGACATATGATGTCTTGTTTAGTTCTC